GAGTTTGAGCTTAGAGTGTAAAAAAGGAAGCCATTTTTGGTTGTGTTTGCAAGAAAAAGAGCTTGTGGTGCAATTCTTGAATGTGGTGAAGCTTCTAGATCCAACATTTCCTTCATCTTAGGGAGCTTCTTGAGGTATAAAGTCCATACCTTGCTCATCTATTGTTTAGATCTCCTTTTGGGCTTTTTTTGGTATTTTTGGTACCTTTTTGAAGGTCTTGATGTGTCAAGACCATTTGTGATGTCAAAGTTGTAGATCTAGACGTTTAGTGGCCTCTTCTAGCTTAAAGGTGAAAACTTTATGGTGTTTGTGACCTCCATGCAAGCATTAAGTCATCTATTAAGTTATTTTGGGATTTTCAGTTTCATTAAGCCATGCATGCACGTAAAGTTGGCAACTTTACATGATTATCCACCTCAAAGAGGTCAAATATGAGTATTGGACCAAGTGTCTAAACCAAATAAGAGCTTAATGGCATAGTTAGCAAATCAGAGGAGTACATTGGGTGTACAAGCTCGTACGCACAACGTACAATCCCTTAAGCGTGTACACTTAGCGTACAAGCTGAGTACGCCCCGCGTACTTAGCAGAGGGTTTCGGTGTTTTGGGCCTTCGGTGTGGACTTCGCATTTGGACTTTAGGAGCTTAGGGTTGCATCGTGGGCTGTGGCCTGGTTAAGTTAGGTGGTTCAATTTCCATTGTGGGCCTTTAGGGTCATGAGTTGGGCCTTTTGGGACTTAGACCCATTAGTGTAAATGGGCCAAGTTTGGTTGGGCCCATTATTAGGAAACTACTTTTGGGCCTTAGTAGAGGGGTAGGGACTTAAGATTTTGGGCCCTTCGTTAGGTTATGTCATAATTCTAATTAGGTTAATTTGTATATTTATACAGTGTGAGACTTTTTGGAGTGGTCGCCAAGCAACTATTATTTTTAGTAGACTGAGGTGAGTCTTCTCATTATACCAATAGGTCGAAGGCACCAATGTCGTCCCATTACTTGATATGTAGTCTTAATAGTTGATATGCAATGGTTTTATTAGTTGGTATGTAATGACTTATGTGAAGACCGTGAGGGAGCCCATGACACTTGGTTATAAGACCATGGGGGGAGCCCATGGCATTCTAGGTAAAGACCATGGGGGAGCCCATGACACTTGGATGTTATACCATGGGGTAGCCCACGACATTCTAGGTGAAGACCATGGAGAGAGTCCATGGCAATTCTATATATATGTTGCATGGTATTATGTGGTTGTATTTTTTGTGTATTTTGGGAACTCACTAAACGTTTTCTTACAGATTGTTGGGTGTTTCAGGTACTTCTGGTTCTAAGGGGAAGGGCCCGGCTTGATGGAGCAATATTCACTCTCCAGTATTTCCACATTTATTGTTTTGGATACTCTGATCTTTTTGATATGATTTGATGTAATGGAATTTTGGAAAACAAAACATGATTGTAATTTCTAAATATTAAATGAAAAATTTTATCTAAATTTTCGGGTTGTTACAAAAACTGCACGGATCAGACTCTTGTCCTTAAAGGTTTTACTTTGCTTCTATCGGTTGTAAGAAACATAGTAAAACCCCAAGATTTAATGCAGACATCAGTTTTCCAACGGCAATGGAAAATGATAAACGTAAAGTGAATACTCATAAACCAAGAAGAAATTGACAAGAGAGCTCCGAAATTTGTGTGTATTATACGGCCCCTAGGGAGTTGCATTTATAGGTGTCGAAACCCTAGAATGCAGTAAAAGGCCCTCATAGGCCGGACCCTAGAAACCGTAGGGCGAGGTCTTGCTCTCCAAGGAATTCGTTTTCTTGGCCTTCTAGAATATTCCCCATGAAGTCAAGCATTTGACCGGATCAGTCAAACCGACTTGACCCAAACTCGTCAAAAATAAAAGATCCTCAGCTCCTAGCGACCGATTCGTCATGCCAAGTGCCAATGCGCCTAAATTGTGCCATTTCATGCACTCGCGACATCGGCTAAGCTAGGTGCGCATGTGTGGGTTTGTCCCATCTCTTGATCCACTAAAATCTTTTGAAGCTCTTTCAAGAGAAATGGTTTATAAGCTCACTAAAAGTTTCTTCCCCTACCAATATAGATAGAGTAAACTTTCCAACTTGCAATAATTCCCTTATAATTTTCAATAATATATATATATATATATATATATATATATATATATAGGTTCAAATGTTTCTAACAACTATTGTGTGAATGAATGCACCAATAGGAATTTAGGAAATAATAAAATAAATAAATAAATAAATAATGGTGATTTAGTAATTTGATATATAAATTCCATAAATATTTCATATAATCTAGTTATATTGAGTTTTACCCTAATTTCTCCCATATTTATCTACGGCCGTTCTTTTTCCCTCACCCCACTTGTGTTTGTGTGTGTGTACGAGAGCACGCTCTTCATCATCGACAAATGCTCCTGCATCCCTATCGTACGTTCACAGCTCCTCCATCTATTCCTCTCCATAGTCGCCGACAACAACCACCATCGCCACCTCATCAACACCATCACAACAATCATCGATTTCCCTCCAAGCTTGTGTCCTTCACCGGCTCCGCCAGACCCATTCAATCATCGGCCAAAAGAAGAAACGAACCCATATTCATCCGTAATTACAGTAGGTATGAAACGTATGATAATAACTGTTTGCCGTTTTTAGCCTTGTAAAAATATGATTTTAAAGATATCGTTTAAAAAAATCCCTAATTAGTTATTTGAGCCTATTGATCAGATTGGCGTCAATAACATTGGTTTATGGGCGAAATCCAATTATTCTACAAATCCCAAGGTAAACAAAGTATTGCGTATATATTAGCTATGTTGGTTTTCAAATGCCTATTGTCCATATATGGCATATTATGTGTATGATTCTTACCATTAAGTTACCACCATACAAAATTTTCTATTCAGTAATTCATTTGCGATGCATTTCTTGAGAGACCCTAAAATTCTCATTCATTTGCTGTCTTTTAATAATAGCCGTATAAATTCTGATTTTGTACTTATATTGGTATAGTTAATTACATCCTAATAAAATATTAGTAGAGGTTGTATTTTACACAGATTTTTGTGTTAAGCTTTTTCACATCTTATTCACCTCATTGGATTTAAGAGATTCAATTTTTGTGATATTTTATAATCTATTTTCGCTATAAAAAAAAAAGGAGTCCAAGGGTGACTTTCTGCAGTTCTGACAACAATTCTGCCAGAATGGAATCTCGAATTCCAATTCCGTCATAATGGAATCTCGAATTCTAAGTGAACTTAAGCAGGGAATTACCATACACAACACATACCAGTATTTTGTAATTTCATTTAACTATCAATTTGACTATTTGATAACTTTTTTTCGAATCATAAAAGGTGTAATATGTTTTGGGCTTTTGTTTTTGTTTTGAATTTTTTTACTAAAATTTTGTTGGTTGTTGCAGTGTTGGATTGGTTATGCATTCGTCTTGATCTGTAAGCAAAACATTTTAGTTTATACTTTACTTGTATACATTTTTTAAATTAGGCAATAACATAAACTTTTGTGTATTCTTTTGTTTGAGATTAACTTTCTTTCAATTTCACTACAGCCCACAAACTACTATTGGAATTGCTATGGTTCTATGCCAACGTTAACTACAGTGGTATATTCTTGATAATACAATTTTTTAAGAATATTCAAAACCACTATGCAAGAATAGTTTATTCTGTAAGAATATTATTGTTGTATTCTGATAGAATTGTAGTTAATTATTTGTATGTTTAATGTGCAGTTGTTACAAGTGTATCACTACAAATTATTTGGCAATGAATTTCTGATAGAAATGGCTTGAAGACCTGGTGGGAAACACTCATTTGTATAAAATTATTCCTATGCAATACAATTCTGACAGAATGTCAATATCATAAAATGTCAATATCATAGAATGCTAGCATATTTTGAAGTGGCTTAGAGGTTAAACATACACAAGACATTTAGAAACGAAACAAGAAGGTAAATGAGGATTCTTTCAAGAATGCCGATATTTTTTTGCAAGAGATTTCAAGAATGAATGTAGTTTCTGTTCATAGTTGTATTCTTTAAGAATGAATGTAATTACTTATTCTAAACTATTAAACTTCGTCTTATATAAAATTTGTATTCATTAAAAATTATTGGACTTCATAATACGTTTTTATAATATTATGTTCATAGTTGTATACCATTCTGACAGAATTACAGAATATCATTCTAACAAAATAACATTCTGATAGAATAAAATCGGTTTATGTTTACAAATTACGTTTGAAATTGAATTAATTTGAAAAAAAATCAAATTTTTTAGATCAAAATCATTAATTATCTCATAAATTTCGATTTTTCCTTTTTTAAATTTGTCTCAATTAACTACAATGCCCTTATGCTGAAATTTGTGTGATTATATGGTACATGTTACCCTATTGTACTATCATAGACCCTCAGATCATGACCTTTGATTATATTTCATACGATGGTCCAGATCTGTGCATTCTGGCACACAATACTTACTAGAAACAAAATAATCTAACCATATATATATATATATATATATATATATATATATATATATATATATATATATATATATATATATATATATATATATAGGGTTAGGTTAAATTGAGAACAACTTTTTATGTGAGAACATGAGGTCTAATTTTAGCCATTAGATTTGGTGTATTTAAGGGTCAAGATTGAGTATTCCTAATTTATATGTATTCTAACGTGATTTCCTAATACTCGTAATATTCTACGGTGATATTTATTTATTTAATGAGGTTTATTTAACATACGATATTGTTAAATAAGGTAATAGTGTGAAATTGCAAACGGTTCCCGATAAAGCCTCGGAGAAAAAATCTAACCAAATCGTTTCCATTTGGGTGAAACGATCTTGATAGAATCTTCAAAAAAAATCCAATATATTTTGTGAATCGTTTTATGTTATAAAATTGAAGCGAAATGAGGTGGACGAGAGCACAGAGCTTGAGAAGGAGTCCAAAAATGATGGAAGGAGGATTTCAGTCAAAGTTTAGTAATACGGCTAACAATGCTATCGATGTTGAAGAAGAAGAAGTCTTGTACATTGAATCAGGTAACATAAAGATTTAATTTTTGGTTTTTGATCTATGATCGGAATTAGGGTTTTGTTTTAGGGTTTTCTGAGGATTTATGATGTTTTGGCTGTTTGTTGGTAAAATCGAAGTTTTTTTGTGTAAATATTAGTTGGTAGTGAGTGTGATTTGATCGTATGTTTGGTTTGCTTGAATAACAATTTGTCCGTGGATGTGATATGAGCTACAATTCTGTTTTGAATGAATGTGTATTTAAATGTGATTGTAGAGTATGTGATAGAGTTGTTTGATTAAACTTTGAACTTTATTTTGTTTGATCTTTGAAAAATAGAGTTAGTATCGCCTTAAATGTTATTTGTAAACTGTGAATTGGTTCAATTTTATAAATTGTGTTCCATGATTAAAATTGAAATGTGTATTCCTTTTAGGCGCATCATTCTGGGTAGAAAAATAACAATAGATAAAATGTGGATGCATTTATGAATATGTTATGTATAAGGTGATATTCTTTGTTGAGTTTGGTAATACTGAATATGTATGGTAGTGAATTTGGTAATCTGTTTAGAATGTGGATGTGTGATTATATGGTTCATAATTGAATGTTTAATCAATAATGAATATGAAGGACTCTGCAATAGTGAATGTGTGTGGAGATGAATTAGAATTCTGTATTGAATCTGAATATGTATGGTAGTGAGTTTGGTAATCTGTTTAGAATGTGGATGTGTGATTATGTGGTTCATAATTGAATGTGTAATCAATAATGAATATGAATGACTATGCAATAGTGAATGTGTGCGGCAATGAATGAGAATCCTGTATTGAATCTGAATCAAGTTTTGTAGGATAAGTTTTATGCCTACAGTTTGTAATTGATTAATGGAATGAGGAATCTATAATGAATGTGGAAGTGAATGAGTAATCTGGAAGTGAATGTGTATTGTTATAGGAAGTAATTATGTAGTCTGTTATGAGTACATTTTATGAGGGATTAGTTTTTTGGCACATGAGTATGTATTCATGGGCGAATATGGGATAAAAACGGCTTGTAGTGATTAATCTGTTATGAATTTGTATTAATTTGTCAATATGTGAGATAATGATTTTGTTTTAGGTACATTAGTTATTGGATAAAGTATGTACATACAATGTGTAAAATGTAAGAATGATAATTTTTTATTGAAATGTACAGGGTCATCAAGCATCCGTGTAGTTGAAGGAAATAAATCTATGAGAAGTGCAGGGAAGAAAGGAGTACCTGGTGGGGGGAAAACTAGAATTACCCAAAAAGAGAAGCAATGGAAAATCATATAAGAATGACTCAAGTGATGATGATTTTGTTGAGAAGAAAAATGAGGTGGGTTCTGGAAAGAATGAAAGGACAATGAAAAGGAAAAGGGTTGACAAGAGTGTTAATGATAAAAAGGTTAACATGAAAGGGAAAAAAGTAATTGGAGCTGAAGGAAAATGTAAAGAAGGGAAGGTAGGAACTGAATTTCAAAGGTTGAGTACTCGTATATCTCCAAATTCTTTGTATCTAGCCATGAAATGTTTGTCAAAGAGCCAGAGAGAAATGGTACGTGATATGGGTTTTGGATCTTTTCTGGGAATGAAGATTGATACACTACCTGGAAAGCTAGCATATTTTGTTGTAGATAGCTTCACAACAGGTTCTTGTTCCATAAGGGTTAAAAGTGGTGAAGTGGCCATAACAAACGAGACAGTAGAAGCTATGTTTGGACTTCCGAATAAGGGTTTGGATTTTAACACACTGGATGAATGTGATAAGAATGATCCTTTGTTTGAAGCTTGGAAAGGACAATATGGGAAGGGAAATTATTATAATGGGAACTATTTGAAGAATATAAGGAAAACAAATATTGCGGATGAGTTGTTTAAGCTGAATTTCTTGACGTTATTCATTAACACTTTTGCTGAAACAGAGACAATGGGGTCTTGTAGAATTAATTTTATTGAAAAGTTAATTCAATGCAAAGATGTGTCAAGGATTAACCGGTGTGAGTACATAGTGGACTGTTTAGGAAAAAGCAAGAATAAATGGAGGCCAACTGACAAAAACTGCTACTTCACAGGGCCTGTAGCGCTTCTAATGGTATGATATTGAATATTGATTTAATCTTTTAATTTTTTATCATTAAAAATTATGTGTAATGAGAAAATTATTGAATATAATTGTGCAGATGGCGTATGCAGACAGAGTGATATGTGAAGATGTAAATTTGCGTGCCCTTCATCACAGAAATTGATTCAGAGCACCTTAGAGTGTTAGAAGAATATGAAGTAAGCAGGGGTGTATTTGGAAATCTAAGTTTAAGGGAAAATGTGGATGGTGTGTTTTATGATGCGATGATGAATCAAGATCATTCAAAAGATAGATCAGTTGAGGTAAAATTATTGTATAATAAATATAATATGTATAGTAATTAATTTATTTTATGGTTTGTTAATTGTATAGTATAAAAATATATTAGATTGTTAAAGTAACAGTTCATTTATTTTTATTGTAGGAGAGTTGTGGGATTATTGAGAGTATGGTAGGCAGGTTGGTTGAGCAGAAGCAGGTTGTAGAGGCAAGTAGTTTGATGTGTATGGAAATGCATCCGAATAATGATAAAATGAAGGCAGTGATTAAGAAGGTTGTTGACATATTTAATGGGACAACACTAAAAGCCTTAATTGCTGAAGGGCATGAAGATAGAATGGAGGTTGATGGTACGAGTGTGAAGGCAACTGAAGGAGGACAAAAAGATGAGGATATGAACCAAATGATTACTAATTTGACAAATAAGATGGGGGAGGATTTACTTAGTGGACGAAAAGTTCATTCTGAATCGAATGTAGATGCTTCATATCATGGAATGGAAGGAATGTCCCCGACAATTGTGAAGCCAACTGGTATGTGCAATGATAAGGTTCTGTTTGAGCATCATGGTGGTACACCGCAACAGAATATAGGAATGGAAGTTGTAATGTACAATGGGAATTCTACTTTTGATTCTCCTTGTATATTAACACCTGGTCGGATAAAGCAAGCTGATGAAATAGAAAGGAACCGCTCTAAAAAGAGTAGTATGTTTAATAATGATTGTCCATCGTTTGAAGCTAGACTTAATGAATGTGTAGATGAGATGAATATTGCGAAAGGGAATGAAGGTAAAGATGATGCAATTGTTGAACAGGAATGTCTTAAAAGGACAAAGAGAAATGTTGAAGCTGTAGTAGGGATTAAAATGAGAGAAAAAAGAGAAATGAAGCATGGGCCTACATTGAAGTCACCTTTTGTACAAAGAGTTGTGGACTTGAAAGATTCAGTTGAGCAAAAAGAAATACTGGTTGCACAAGCTATTATTGGATTAGGAATGGATAAAACGTGTAGTTGCATACTTGTTTATTTGTTTTTTTTATGATTAATGTTGTGTAAAATATCTGATGTATACAACCATGAAAAATGCAGGGAGCTCGTATGGGAATCAAAAGAAGGGTTTGGAATGCATCTACAATATGCCAGAACTCTTGCAGCAAAAGTTAATATTCATTCAAATGTAATCGACTGTTGGAGTGTTGTACTAAACAAATTGGAAGAGAGTAAGGCTGAGTCGTCATATTCTAGACTTTTTTTTACAACAGGCACACTGGTATGCTTTATTTTTAAAAATATAATAACAGTTTTTTAAAAATTTAATGTTACTTATTGTGTTGTTTAATTGTAATGCCCAGCGTGAATCAATGTTTGACGAGAGGGTAAATGAAGATGTGAGATACAAGGAGTTTGAAGTTATGGTCTCCTCAGCAATTGAAGATCTTACAACTGATTCTGAGATGAAAAACGTGGATTTGGTAATAGAAATATGATGATTAAAATGTGATATTACATTTATTTATTTTTTATTAAGTGTTATATGTTGACTAATATGTTGTAGGTTTTCTTCCCCATTGTTGATGGGAATTACTACCTCATATGTTTTAACCTTAAAAGTTTTTCACTTTTGATAACTGATCAAAGGAGATTGGTGGGGACAGTTGAGTCGGTCTATGGGAACATACCTCGTATGTTGGTAAGTATGAAAATAAGATAATTAATCTTAATATATGTTTATATAATTATGTTAATGGTTAGTACAATTTGTGTTACATAATTAATGATTTTCTGTAATGTTTTGTTAACAGCAAAAAATTTTCTGCCGTTTTCTAAATGATGTCTGTAAGAAGAGGGTGAAGACCCCGATGACAAGGAATGTGGTGGTGTTGAAAATGAAGTGTCAAACATACAATCATTCAGATGATGGTGGAATCTACCTTATGCGACATATGGAGAGTTTTATGGGGGATCAAACATCAAAGTGGGATTGTGGGCTAGTTGTGGATTTAAAAACACAAGATATGTATTTACAGAAGTTAAGGTACAAGTATTTGGTGAGGTTGCTTTTGTCTGATCATAATATTTTGAAGTGTGATTTTGAAAAGGAGTATGCAAAGTTTGTTAAAATGGATAAGGCGACAAGGAAGAAAATAGTTCAGGAGAATCTAAAAGTAGTCTTTGATGAAGCAATTGGTTAAAAGCTGATGGGGAAGGTGCTTGTTTTTTTGGGTCTGACTTGTTGGTTAGTATTGTTTTGACAAACAGTTTTATTTGGTGGGATGGTAGGTTTTTGTTTAGGGTTAATGTAGTATGGATCTGTTTTTGTTATGTGTCTAAAGTTATTATGTTGGTTGCGGTTTGAACCCTTATTACTACTAGTTATGTATGGATTATTATGTTGACTATGTGTTGACTGTTTGATCAATGTGTCTGAAATGATTTAGTCTAAGGTAAAACTGCATTCGACTTTTAGCAATTAATTTTTTTTAGAGTTTTTACTTTAATGGACATGTCGTGGAATGTGATTTGAATGTTGTATAATCCAAAACTGTAAATTCAAGAAAGTATATGTAATCCAAAGCTTTAAGTAGAACAACCAAATCATTATAAATTCGCAATTAGCAATATATGTACAATTTTTGTTGACACTTATATGTACATGTAATGTGTACAAGTTTTTTTGAAAACACAATAAACGTGTATACGGTACCGTACAAGATATGTACATTAAGTGATGAAATTGTAGTACTTGATAATGTATGTAGTATTATAAATGAATGCCATTGTGAGTATGCTCTTTTCGAGGGGTTTTGCATAATACGTCATATTTTTATGTATGCAACACAACATAAAGTTAATATTTTTTTAAGTTCTGTAATAGTATGAATACTAATATCATTCAATGATGAATAAATTTGTACATAAAAAATTACAATAGACTAAGATAAAAATAACATATATAGAGAAATGCAAAACAATATAAACGACAAACAAAGTTCTTATTAGCATTCAAACATGTCTGTAATATGAATATGACAAATCTAAAACAAGCAGATGTAAAGAAAAAAATTTAAGTTTAGTACATGAACGCACAATTAAAAAAAATAAAAACAAATGCTAAATATAATTAATTCTTCTTCCCGGGACGTTCTTTGAAAATGTTGTTCTTCTCATCTTCTTTCCTTACAGGGCAATTTCGCCAATCATGATCGTTGCCATTGCGACAATAACTGCATCTGGAACCCTTTGATTTTTCTGTTGCAACCTCTCTCAAACTTTTCATTCTTTTTTTAGTACCACTTCCTTTGTTGCGGATTTCTCCAGGATTTTGAATATCCACACTAGTGGGAATGGTAACACCAAGTGTTTTTTCGAACTCTTTATTCTTGTTTCCTTTATCATGAGTTATGAAATTGGAAAGGAACTTTGCTTCAAGCTGCTTTATTTCATCCAAGTATTCTTTCAATTTGGTGTGATTATTGCTGAGAGAAGATACACAGTTGTCAACAGTAGAAAATATATCAAGTGCAACTCTTTGGGTATTCTCGTCAGAATCAGCATAACGAAAACACTTTTTCAATAGTTTTGTGGGGATGATGTCCTTCTGCCAGCGTCTGAGTAAATATTTGGAAGGAATCTCTTTGATGTTATATGTCTTAATTACGGTAAAAATGTGGCGACACAAAAAACCAAATTGCTCAAACTTCATACAAGGACATGTAAATGTTTGTGTAGACTTATTGTGTGTAACCTGTATTGAATAAAGTGACTAAAAGTTATTAAAAAAAATATATGAAACTTAAAAGAGTAAGAGTACAAGTTTCAAGAGAAATTACCTTGTAAGTAGACTCACGTATAGGTATATCCCATTGATCATCATTTTCAACTTCTGGATCAAGTTGAGAAGCATTTGCATTAGAAGGAATGTAATGAATAAATTCCTTGACAAGACACTCATCAACATCATCAAATGTGATGATCGAAATTTGAGTACATGAAACCATAGACAAGTACATTTCATTTTGAACTTGACGAAAAACAGTGCGAGTGTAAAACATAGAGGCATTCCTCTCGATCTCAAATGGTGTCCTCATTGTTGGATGTTTGTCGTTAGTTTTGAAGTCAAAAGATGACTGAGTGAATCTTTGCTTCTCCATAGCAGCTTCAAATGAAATCATGAAATGGACAAGAGTAGAACCATAATGCGTGTTCTGGCGAAATGTTGAATTCTCACTTTCAGAACGAGATGTGGTTCGCATTAATCCTGATAAAGGTACATGCTTGAAAAATGCAGGTACCCAGAAATGTCTTAATCCATGCATATCATCCAACCATTTATTATCGGTGAGCTTATATTCATTCAATAATGACTTCCACCCTACCTCAAAGTCATCAACTTCAAGCCTAGAATTCCGTATCAAGAAGTTGAACTCTTTACGAAATTCTGGATTGTTGACAATGTTCAAAAAAACCTGTGAATTTGTAAATGTAATATATGTAATCAACTATAAAACCAATACATTCTGATTTGAATACACCAAAAAATGATTGTTTTATTGGTAAAATTGTATTACATAGACAATAATAAATACCTTCAATGGCAATTTAGATGTGATATGCCACATGCAAAGCCTATGAATCGATTGTGGGAAAACAGTTTCGATGGCTTTCTTCATTGCAGGGTCTTGGTCGGATAAAACCAACAATGGTTGTTTGCCAAAAGCTTTAAGAAAAGATTTCAACAACCATACATAGGAATCAGTGTCTTCTCTGCTTAACAAGCCAGCACCAAAAGTGACACACCTCTTGTGATTATCAATTCCAGTAAATGGGACAAAAACCATATGGTACCTGTAAAAGTATTTGAATTAATATGTATATTATTAATAAATAGAAATATAATAAACTACAATCATTTACAACATGTTAGTTCGGAAAGTAGCATCGAAAGAAACTACATCACCAAACTCTTTATAATTTATCTTGGATGTTTCATCTGCCCAAAAAAGAGCATTCAACTGCTTATTCTCAACTCGATACTCAAAAGAAAAATTCTTAACATTTTCTTTTCTGTTATTCAGCTTGTCCACTAGCATCTGAGCATCACTACCACCTATAAAGCAATTGAGATCCCTCATGTAATTTTTGAAGTCATCAATTAGACCGCCTACAAAATTATATCCACCAAGAATACTTGTATACAGCCTGTGAGCTTTGGTGCAAGGTTGCACCAATATTCTGAGTAGACATTGTAAGAATGAAAGATTTTTGAGTGTCATCCAGCTGCCTATGATGACGTGAAAACAACATATGGTCCCTTCGTATAAGTGGATGATTGTGTTTTTCTTCAAATTCATATAACAACCATTTGGTAGTTCCGGGAAAAATTTTAAATCGTATACGTGCCTTGCATCCGATCCTGCTAGTGTCAACCCTTCTCTTAATTTTACTTGTTTTTGGGTCCAAAGTATCAACAGGAGATGTATTTGGGAAACCTTCCCTGTTACATAGCAGATATTTCATGTACACCACACCACGCTTTTTTTGTTTGTTGACTTTCTAACATCAAAACATGCTGCACATGCATATCTTCTGTACATGTCTTCAATTGCATCATCAGATGGGTATTTATGGTTTATTATTGGCTTGAGATCATGAGGGACATAAGGAATCCAATACGATTTACCAGCTATTACCAAGTGTTGATCAATGTCTGTAACATCTAATAATCATGACAAGTTAATAACATAATACAAATAACAAATCAACAAATCAAATAAACTTGAATAGATATTATACGATACTGAAATGTCAATTAATGAAATAAGCTTAAATATATAGTATACGATACTGAATGTCAATTTTTTGATAGTATTCTAACAATATACCAAATTGTGTAATGTAATCGACACATTTTTTTAACAAACTTAAAAAAAACATACCAGGAACTTGAATAGATTGATCAATATTTTCAAGAAATGTGAAATCTCGTTGATTTTGGTCAGCCATGATGTCGACTTTCCCAAATGCGGTATTATCATCATCAGTCGAACAAAATTCATCATCACTTGACAAAAAATCGTCCTCGACTGATGCAGTTTGAGCGTAATTGATCTCGTCCTCTTCATTGATCGCGTTTATATCATCAAACTCGTTGCAGAATGACAAATCCATTAATGGAATCTTATGGACACCTTTCAGACCAACTAAACTTGAATATCCGATTCGGGTTGCTAATATTGAGGACTGACACACACGATTGATACACACGATTGATGATTGAAGAATTCATAAATGTTTGATAGATATAATATAAAACGTTCCTTAATTATATGAGTTTGATTGATATATTCTTTAAAGCTGATTAAACAATCAAACCTTGCCTTTGTTAATGTAAAATATTATAATTTTTATATTTAATTAATTATATATATTGATTGGCTGAGATTTGTCCTCATGTTCTCACTTTAAAAATGGTTCTCATTTGAACTTAATTATATATATATATATATATATATATATTAAATGTTAGGCCCTGTTTGATTTGCGTCTGACTGAGTCGGGTCATACATTTTTGGCTGACTCGGTTAGCTAAATGTGTTTGATAAATTGATTTTTGCCATCTGACGGGGAAAGAAAGGTCTGATTCAGTAAGAAGAAAACAACGGACTGACTGAGAAAGGGAGAAACATTTCCGGTTGTGCCCTTTCCTATGTTCCTCTTTCACGCCTCTGCCCCCACCGATCGACTCCTTCTCCTCTTCTCATCAGGTACGCCTCATCATGAAATCGATTTCATGCCTCTGCACTCTGCTTCTTCCTGTTGGGGATTTCTTCTATCGCCCCTATTCTTCTTCTTTAATCGATTAATGAAATCGTTTTTGAAATTGATTCATGAATCCGTTTTTGAAATTGATTGACATCGAACCATCTCCTTCAATCGCAGGCTCTCCATCTCGTCTTCACGTTCTTCCTTGAAATTGATTCTTGAACTTAACTATATGATTCGATTGACATGAGTTTCCATCACAAAATGCCTCCTGCTGCTCTTGAAATACTTGATACCTCTCATCTTGTTGTTGCTCTGCGTTGGAGTCCAGACTTTCAGCCGACCACAATCACAAGGTTTTTCTTTTCTCTTTCATCTTTGTTGCCTGTGGTTGAGATAGTATATGAGCTTTTTCAAAAGTTTGTTTTTTTCCTGAAAAAGCATTGTTTTCCTTGGGGTGTGAATTAGCTTTACTGAAAAAGTTTTGAGATTGCGATGCTTTAAAGATTTTTTGCTTTTAGTATTGTATATTGGTGAAAGTTGTTTGTATAATTTAATTGCTTTTAACCTCGTTTTTGCTCCACGGGAATTAGTTGATCTAGACTAGTTTATTCATTTTTATTTCTTTGTTGTTTTCTTTATTTCATACTTCGCATAAACAAAATGTTTTTCTGTTTTGTTTTTAGACTTGTAGTTTACTAAAATATTATTTTGCTTTATTTGGTTGATTAGTTCAATTGCTACTCATCCACTTCAGCCTAGTGTGTTTGTTTAGGGGTAGAAATGGAAAAATAGTTAATTAAATTGAGCTAAATATAGTTGGGAAATCTTTGGTAGTGGAAGGGCATTTTGGGTAATTTAGGTTTTATATATGTTAAGAGGTTTAGCCTAATGAGGGGGGGGGGGTATCATTTTTTTTTTGAAATCTGCACTTGTACCTTATGAATTAGAATAATATTGTTGCTATATATTATTGATAAGTATATATTATGTATGTTGGACCTTTGTTTCTCTATCGTATGTATCTAATCAGATGTACAATTAAGGAGCAGGGTAAAATAGTCATTTTCGATCAGTCAGCACATTCAGTCAGATGTACAATCAAACAGAATGGTTTCTTACTCAGTCATGATTTCTTACCCAGACAGACATTTCCCAATCAGCACTTTCTCAGTCAGCAACTATCAAACAGGACCTTATTGTGTGTGCGCGTATAAGGATCACCCGTAAAGCGAGATGGTTGCCTATTCCTAGATCCAACCATGTGCTTACCAACATCATCAAGAAAACGCCCCATCATCTAACCCTGACTGATGGAACCTCACTTTATTTAACTCTTCCTCATCAACAAACACCTCATCAGCTAACCCCTCCTCATGTAACTGACATTTAGAAAAATTATTGAATTCATTTTTTTGTTGGTTCATTTTCGAAACCATGCAGTAAAGTTTTAAATTTATAAAGATTTTCGATAGATACGTCGTCAACTATAGGTTCCTGCATGTGAGATAGTAGTTATTTATTCATTTTCTCGAGTATCCAGTTATTTATTTTAAAGAGTGGCGAGGCTACATATTAACAAGGTAGGTCACTTGACCTACCTTATTTTTTTCTTATTATAATAGCTTATATATAATTAAAATCTTGTGACCTACCTTAATCATTTTAAGCGAACTACCCTAATTTTTTTGGTAAAGAGAAAGAGTATAAATCATATTTTAAGGCTCATATTTTTATATTTTAATAGCTCAAATTTTTTGGAGGTATAATATAATATGCATAGCCCAATACAAACTAAATTAAAAAATAAAAAAGAAATAAACGTGAATTAACGTCACGTTTCACAACACATGCTTGGCGCATCGATCCTTCACAATCGTTGGTTAAATTGCGCCTATTTGGTGTCATATATTGAATAAAATTTCTTAGAAAATATTAATAATGATACAATTGTGAAAATATATCAAGATATAAGACATCGTCGGGTACAATTGTAAGAAATTTAAATCATTTTTTATACGACCCTACGTGATCCGGAACTACAAGTAGTATTTTTTTGATATTTTTCATTTTCTGTCGGTATCATTTAAATAGTGAACCATGTGGTTTTATATTCTAGACTCGCCACTGATTTTAAATGAATTGTTTGTTTTCCTCGAAGCAGACGTTGCCAGAAATAACATGTTTTTTGGAAAGACGCATGATTTTCTCAATATGTCTTCCTTTTTTCAGATACTAAACAAACTTAAATCCCCTTATCAAACAAAACTCATGTGCTCAATAAGACGCTTTGTATTCTCCAACTTGAAAATGTAGTTTTTCTGTCCATAAAAATCTATTATTGCATTGGGTCACATGCGATACAAAAACATTGCATGAACTAGTAAACCATTCCCTTGCAGTATGAGGACATCCAAAAAGTATCTGATTGCAATACCCATGGGCGGCTCAACCATTTTGGGGGCTCAAAGCGAGCCAAAAATTTGGGGCCCTTTGGCCTTTGCTATACTCGGAAGATGAATGAAATGTCATTTTAGTTTCATGAATGCAGCGGTCATTGATTTATTTTTCCGCTTCTTTTATTTTGTGGTTACCGGATTGGATTTTTAATGGACTAAACTTTTGGACTTTGGAGAATATGGGGCCCCTTAGAATTGGGGCCCTAAGCCCTTGCTTAAAAAAGCAAAACATAGAGCAGGCCTAGGCCCTGGCAATACCATGAAGTAAATCACGTAGGATAACTTCTACTCTACTTAACAGCTCCCATAATTTATTTCCTAGCCCTTTAATGTTTGCATTTGCCTTTAAAGTTTGGTTTAAATGTTGAAACAAACAAGTCACTAATATTAAATACCATCTATTATAAACTAGTAAAAATATATCAAATGTGGCATGAAAGATGGCAAAAAAATAAAACAAATGTACAAGTCTGAAATATTAGATATAATGCGTTATAAACTAGTAATAAAATATAAACATAGCAAAAATATGGCAAGAACACAAATATACAAATCACTAATTTAGGGCATACACATGAGAGACATTTATATTCTTGGATGGTCAAAGATTACCTACAAATGTACAAGTCACTGATGCAAGAGTTCGCATCAATGACATGTATATTCTCAGCTGCATCACAGTTTTATATACATGACTTTGATTTCCTCCCTAGCAAGTATGATTTCCTTTCCTATTTTCGAACACCACCATTTTTTAACCAAAAATAAATATAAACATACCCTCTCATATTTACAAACACCATCATTTTTTAACCAAAAAACATATATAAACATATCCCAAATGTATAAAACTGTAACATCCGGTTTCAAAAAGTTTCTTATTTCAGGATTGTGGACCGTAATTCGATCATGTAAAAGCCTTGGGCTTCAAGGGAATAAATTTTAGACCTTATATTGATGTTTATAATATTGGTTATGTGATCTGAGTCTTGATTTATGTTTTGGAGCAAAAGGGTAAAATGAAAAAAGTGATGTTTCAGACCTCTTTCATGAATTAATTATTTTAGTTCGATATGTTTTAAATCAAAAGTATTTAGATAGAATTGTGGGGTTTTTCAATACTTTCGCGTGGATATAAATATCACTGGAAATAAAGTTGAAACGAAGAAGTTAATGATTGTTCGAAGCTGAAATGGAAATTGGGAAATTTTACCAACGTAAAATAGTTTGTAGGAGAGAGATTTCTGGACGAGGATTTAATGACATACATTGAGCGTAGGTTAGGCTACGCTGATCATTGGCGCAGCAGACCAAAACCCTAAAATAAGGTTTTGAGCCATATTTAAAGGCTCTAACTTCTTAGGATTCTTCCCATGACCAGCCTCCATCACCTCAGATAATTCCTTGAGAAACCCTAGCCCCCTCTTGCTTGTTTTTAGCATTGGTGTCTTTTTTGAGCTTATCTTCTTCATTTGGTGGTTGAATCTTGAAGAACAAGATGTTGTAAAGTGTGGCACCTGGTTCTTGGTACGCATTCTTTTATTTAATTCTTTGAACATTTTGCATTTTTGACCTTGGACTCGGCGAGTCAAAGGACCGACTCGCCGAGTAGAAGCGGGAAGGGATGCGGGGTTTAAGTAATGGACTCGCCGAGTCGGGTCCCGGACTCGGCGAGTAGCCGCTGTCTGGACAAAAACCCTAATCCCCGGTTTTGCACCCTATTTAAAGGACCTTATGCAGCCTCCATCGCCCCTTTATGCTCCCAAACACCCCTCAGTGAAACCCTAGCCGTTTTTGAAGTAATCTAAGCCTTGTTGGTGGATTTTGGTGCTTGTGATCTTAGAAGGAAGGAGAGAAGCTTGAGGAAGCAAGTAGAGATCAAGAGAATCTGAGTTTGTGCACCTTCTACAGCTCATTGAAGGTAAAAAGCTGTAACCTTGCTCATTC